ATAATTTTGATGTAACATTCTTTTAAAATTCGGAATACATATACGTATTTGTACATGTGATTTTAGCTATTATTTTGCGGGAAGTCTACGGACAGTGCTTAGGGACAGTGCAAAATCATGTGATCTTTCCGGACCATGTCGGACAGTGCTTAGGGACAGTGCAAAATCATGTGATATTTCCGGAACAGTACCGATGGGTTACGTCGATCATACCCAGTCACGCGCGTAAATATGATCCATGACTAGGATATCCATTCACATGTCGTGATGATCGGTTTTGCAATGATAATTAAAATAATAATGACATTTAAAATCAGAACATTTGGGAAGGATCAAGCGTTTCTGTACACTTGAATGTTCTTTGTGACTAAATGTTTCTGTATGATTAATTTCTTTAATTAAAATAATTAAAGAGAAACTTAATGTTTTTGTATGATTGATTTCTTTAATTAAAATAATTAAAGTGAAACTTGTTATGTTAATAAAATGTACAAATATATATACCGAGAGAATTAGAAAAGGATGTTCTAAATACCATGTGCAATAAAAAAGTCTTTATTTGCTGTCAAATAAAATTTCTATACAATTTTCTTTAAAGATCAATTATATTACATTGTGTTGTCTTATAAACATAGGAAAACAGATACTGACGTGATACTATAAAATACAAAATAATTTAATTAGTTCATATTAAGCGATCAATTTTTGCAAGAAAAAAAGTTAAATCCATCAACAGTACCAGTGCAGTTATGTCACAACCACAAATCCCAACAATCAGCAACAAATTCCTAACAGTCAAAAGTTTCAAGAAAGCCGCACAACAAGATGCTAAGGCAGCCGGCTTCACTTTTAGTGTATCATCATCAAAAATGTCACGTGTTGGCAAAGTCAATCGCACTCCTTTTGTTATCTTGCAGTGCACAATGAGAGGTGAATATAGAAATAATCACGAGATTACTAAAGAAACTCGAAAAAGAAAAAAATTTACGAAACGTCAAAACTGTCCTGTCATTTTACGGGTTGTTTTGAATGAGGATGCTGGCGTTTGGGTGATACAATCTTTCAAAACTCAGCACAATCACAAACTTCTTTTTCCATCACAAGTTCACTGTCTCCATCAACATCAGCTTCTCAATACAGAACAAAAAGAGCTAGTTCACATAATGCTCAGAACATCAGGAAATTTTTTGGAGCGATATTCATCAAGAATCATCGCCATATCTGTAAAAATCGATAAATATCTCTCTGAA